TTGCCAATTCTATTGCTTCCTTTAATTTCTTTGTTTCTGTTTATGTTGGCCTATCATCCCATTTTTTAACTTTTTCAAGACGTAAATCAGCACTATAATTTAATATGAAACAAATACTGTGTTCCATCTGCTAAAAAATTCACTCTACATTATTAATTTGTACCTGTTTTTCCATTCGAAATTGAAGAGATCTATTTATGATTATTCTATAATTACTTATGCTGGCCACCATGGATCTAAAGCTTAAAAAACTACTTACAGCCTAAGACTTTAGCCCAAACTACTTCATTTATCTCAAATTTCGCATCACAGCCCTATTACATTCTCTCTCTTTTTGTACTGTATAACAATTAATTAATTACAAGATATTATAGGATTTTTTTAAATTCGTTAATCATCATATTTATAATTAATTTTAATATGAATTCAATCTCAGAAATAAATCGATGTCTCTAACATATATTTCATTATTCCTAATAACCACAATCACCTAACTGCATCATGTCTATGAAATCCTATTATGATGATTTAATAAACTTTGATAATTATAACATATTTGAACCTCAACTTTTTCAATTTGAAGATTTGAATACTTCTAATTGTAAATATTGATAATAATTAAAGTTAGTCACTCCATTTTTAGATTTTCAATTTGAAGATGATGTTGTATTTTAAAACAATGAGTTAAATTAAAATGAAGAAGAAAATTTTAAATCTTCTAATCTTCATAAGATTTCCTCTATGCAAAATAATAATGAATAATCATAAGTGGCTTTGATATAATTACGTAATTTCAGATAGAGTATAAATAAAGAGATACAAATTAAATAAGTTCCTTTAGATGTATTTACTAGATAACTTACTCCTAAGAGATCAATACCATCTCTTTTTGATGATGAACCACCTTTAGAAATGAAATAGAAGACAATACAAAATTATAGACCTTTAAGAGAAAGAATATAAGAAAAATTATCTTAAAAATAAATAGATAAAAAAGAATAATAAGTAATACATAATCGATTTTAAAATGTAAATCAAAATTCTGCTAGCAGATATCATTCTAAAAGTCCATAATCATAATTTACTAAGGAATTTAAATAAAAATTCAATTCAATAACTACTAATCAAAATTTATAATTCAATTTAAATTAATTATCTAATAATCAAAGATAAACTTCAAATTCTAAAAATTTATCAACTCCTTAAAAAAACAATAAAGAATAATATGATTCAACAGTAAAAATAAGAATTGATATTCAAAACTTTCAAGAAAACCATAAAAGATCAACTAATTAGAAATAAGAAAAAGAAAATAAAATATTAACACCTTTAAAATATTAAAGCAAAATAAATTGTTAAGATTTTGAATAAGTAACAAAAACTAAAAATTTTACAAATAATTATAGAAACAAAAGTCCTAAAAACTTTTCAAAAAGTCCAATTAAAACTCCAGAAAAAGAATCATGCAAATATGTAGTTGTTAATTTTTATTAAAAAAAATATTGATTCATTTTTAATCATTATTTAAGTGTTTTCTCTTATTATAATATATAAATAAATATAAGAAATTATATATTTCAATTATAATTACAATTAAATCATCTCAATTATGATAAATTTTATTTTGAATGACTTTTATTATATTTTTTGATCTTACAATTTATAATAGGATAATTATTGATAATTTTTCATTTTATTTTCAGCACAATTATATAAAGTTTATATATAGTCTTATGTGATCAGAGAAATTAATTACATCAAATTAATTTATAATATAATGATGTCCTTAGATATTTAAAATGACTACTTAGAATTTGCATCAATTTTGGATGACAAATACTATATAATTGATACAATTGGATTTGGAAGATATGCAAAGTAATGTTTATTGAATAGCAATCTAGGGTTAAATTGGCTATTAATATGGAGGATAAATAAAAATATGCAATAAAAATCATGAAAACAGATCCAACAACAAGTTAATGTAGATCAGATACATTTATAAATGAAATTTCAACATAAGCTGAATTTGATCATAAACACATAATTAGAATCATATATGTATTTATTCTATATCCAACCAACATAGTGTAGGATGAATGGAAATTATAAAAAGATAGATGGAAGAATTTAATAAGTTTCTTATTTTGTTATGGAATTGGCCAATCAAGGTGAATTGTTCTAATTATTAGAACAAACTTAGCAATTTTCTGAAAAATTTGCAAGGAATATTTTTTTATAACTAATAAAAGGTAAAAATCTTCCTTTATTGTTAGCATAGGAATTGAGCATCTGCATGAACGCGGTGTTGTTCATAGAGATGTTAAAGCAGAAAATATACTATTTAGTAATGGTGTACTTAAGTTGGCTGATTTTGGATTTAGTACTAAAACAATTGATGAGAAAGGATCCAGAATCTAATTCGAAATATCCTAACATATTGGATCTCCTGAATACAATCCTCCAGAATTATATAATATTGGTAATGAATAGATTTATTATAATATAGGAAAATAGAAATTTTATAATCCAGAGTAGGCTGATATCTTTGCTGCTGGTGTAATCTTATTTACAATGGTTATCAGATCTGCTCCTTTCAAAACTTCAAAATCAACTGATCCCTACTATTCCTTATTAAAAAATAACAAATAATCCTTCTGGAAAATCTTTAGTGAGATTGCAGATTCATCGGCATAATTTAAAGATTTGATTGAGAAAATGTTGGATGAAAATCCATTAAAGAGAATTACTATTGAACAAATAAAATAACATCCTTGGATATAAGGTAATGATTCATATAAAATTTAAAGGATAAATGCTTGGTTAAACAGAATTCTAGAAAGAATTGAAGAATAGATATGATATGATATTAAGTTAATAAATCGTAAAAATAACAAATAAGAGAGACACAAAATTTTCAACAAGAAAATCAATTAAAAAGGTTGAAACAGATAATATAAGTAAAAATGTATAAAAATAATGTTATGAAAATATTGAATTGATTGATAAAGTAATTTATTAGTTTATTTTTTTAGATAAATGCAAAATTGTAGATTAAATAACATTCTCCAAAAGAATAATTTAAATAATAATCAAATAAAAGTGAAAAATTAAAAGTAGGAATTTAACAAAAATAATAAAATTAATACAGTTCTAGAACAAATTAGGAATCCAAAAGATCAAGTCCTGGATCACCTTCGAACGATTCTGATAATTGATACAAACCAAATTATATATATATATATATATATATTGTAATCATTCAAAATCTTTAAAATTTGAATTTTGTTATTCTTGTTTTGATGATTAATTGGTTTTAAAAATAGAATTATTTTAATTCCAATCTTTACCAACAGTCTTTGATAAATGTTTTATTTATGGTATTTAAAGTAATTCTCCATTAATTCTTCTACTTGTGTAATTAAGTATAGTTTTATTTTCACTAAAATTAAAAAATAAATCTATTTTATTGTTTGTTGTTTGAATTGGTTAGATATTATAAATTAAATCTAATCCATCATCAATTTCAGTTTTCATATGAATTCTTTTGATATTTTATTTAAAAATTGAATGCTTTTTTTATGGATTTTCTTATTTATTGAATACATTTGTAAAGCATTCATTACATAATGAAATCATTTAATTTAAAAATACTAGATTTCTTTTAAATTCTTTATATTCTTCCATAGTCATTTTTGGATACATAATCTTGATTATTCTTGGTATAAGTTATTATTAATCAATTTTAACTTAACCAACATGTAAATTATGATTTAATTTTAAGATATTATCTCTAGTAAACTTTTAATTTTATGACTTTCTTGTCAATACATTATTTTCCCAATTCTCAACAATATCTTTTAATCGAACCTTTGAAAATTCAATTTAATTTTTATCTTTATCACATCCAATACATTTAGAATTATCAGATAAAATAATTGCTTTTGGATAATTTATAAGTGATTTTTATATTTTACTTGAAATTTCAAATTCAGCTAAAGTATAAATAAATAATTTACGCTAATTTAATTGCTTTAATTCACTATTAGAAGTCAAAACTTTTGAACTAAATAATAGAAACACTTTATTTTTTTTGGCTATTTTAAATAATACTTCCATTTAACATATTTATTTTTAATTTTAAGTAACATTAGCTACATGAGAAACTATCAATCCACATAATAATTCCAATCTTTAAGTAAGAGATGTACCTTTCAAAGTTCTTTATTCAATAGGTCCATTCAACATCTCAAAAGTTACTGCTCTTTGATATATGTCTGCTTTTGAAAAGTTAATCTAAAATTTATTAGAAAGACATTCAAAGAAACACAAATTATTAGTCCATGTACATTTAATTACTTCATTACAACTACCTAATAAATGTTTTATATATAATATACCTTTAGGATAAACAAATCTTTATAGATATCCTTTAGTGTTATCTGATATTTTTGAAGTCAACAATTAATATAATAAGTGTTATGACAAATACTCAAAAGTTGTTAAATTTTTAGTCTTATTTATCCAAATAGCACAAATTAAATGTTAATCTTCTTTATCTGTTACAAATTCATTCAGAATGTCTTCCCAATTAAGTTTTGATTTGCTTTTTCTCATTATTTGAGAATCATGACTGTAATACCAGAAATATGGTTATCCTTAAATAATCTCAATAGTATCTGGAATATCTATTTTTATATTGTTTCTAAATATTGGATCTTATAACCATAACAAATGAAATAGATTAAAGTTAAATCCATTTTCATCCAAAACAAATCTTTAAAAACTCATTCTTCTTTTATTAAAATTATAAAAATAATAAAGTATAAATAGAAATCATAAAATATATTATCCAAACAAAATTTGAGAACTTTAAATATATATAATCAAATAGGATATCTATTTTCAATCTAAAAAATTAGAATTTATAATAAAATTAAACAAATTCAGAATTTTAAAGTATAAAGTTTTCTTATATTAATAAGAATAATAAAGATAAATCATATCTAATTCTATTAATTTATCTACAACGTTTTAGGTATAATAACTTTTTTCTTTTTTCCATCTTAAGTCTCTTTATATTCAACTCTTTATTCAGTTACTATATCTTATGTTTTAGATTCTTCATTTTTCTTTGGAACTTCCTCTTCCTCTATTTTATCATTATTATATAACACTCTAATATACTCAGGTAATTCTAATTTTAATATAAGATTTTACATTCAATTGGAACTTCTTAACCAAAGTATCCCTCCTCAATTTATACAAAAGAACAAAAGCCATCACATGAACTTACAGCAATCAAGCTAGACCCTTTAATAATAAATATTTATGATACCTTTAAAACAAATATCAGTTATTGAGGCATAATGAAGATTTCCAAAAATAGCTAAAGGAGTTGGACTATCTGTTGAATAAAGTAATAAGGAATCAATTGTTCCTATTGCAAAAATCATTTTATATGGTAAATCTATCAATGGTTATTAAATATCTTAATTTCTATTAAAGTATTTAGAGCAAAATCTTATAACTAAGGCAGGAGTTTTGGTTGGTAAAAAGAAACATGGAACTTAAGGAGATTATCTTAAAAATCCATAAGCACCCATAATAGGTTTATTATCAACCCAGAATTCAGCAGCAGGCAAAATATAAAATGAACCATCAGGACTCCAATCTGGTCTTCTTACAAAAGTGAATAAACTAGTTTCACCTAAAAATATTCCATTTTATTTTTTCTCTTCATTTTATTATTATTATTATTCTTATGATGTTTATTATTATATATCTGTTTTTTAGGCATTTTCTAATTTTCTGACAACATGTTATGGATAAAATTGTAAACTATTTATATTTTTTTTTTATGCTTTTAATACTTTCCATACTCTTGCTGTTCTATCCTGACTTAATGATACTATAGATTTAAGTCTTGGATCAATTGTAATTCCTTAAACATATGCTGTATGTCCATCTAATGTTTATAATTATTTTTATTTCTTAACATTCCAAACAATTACATATTTATCTAGTCCACCTGATACTAAAATTTCACCATTTTTTGACCATTATAGATCATAGATTTCTTTGCAATGTCCAGTTAATATTGAAAATGGCCACCATTATAATCTAGGTTCAGATTAACCAAATGTTTATCTAACTTATTAGTTCCAAATAATTATTTTATAATCATCAGAACCAGATGCAAAATTTTTACCATTTGGTGAGAATTTTAAACAATTAACAGTTTATTCATGACCAGCATTAATTGCTCCAGCAAATTCAACCATTTTAGTTGAATTTTCTAATATTGTCCACATTTTAATCACTCCAACATCTTCAATTAGGTTATCTTTTTCAGCTATTTTAGAATCTGAACCTCCTGTCAATAATAAATTCTATGTTGGATGAATTGCAATTGCCATTATTCGTTCTTTATCTCCATGCCAAATTATATTAGGAATGACTAACTTCATGTTTAATTAATTAAAATATTAGGCGCGTAATTTAATTATATACATATATATATCATTCTAAATCAGGTATATCATCATCTATTTATTATGTTAATTTTGCTTATGCTTTTTATATTAATAAATCTAAATTCTATCTCTCTTATTTCTATTTAATTTCTAATTGTTTTATCTATTCTTATTATTTTTATTGATCTTCTTTTTTCTTTCTCTCAGCTATTTATTTTAATATTTCATTAGGATTCACTTTTGGCATTGTAATAACTAATTCCCCTGTAATTTCTGATCTTTAAATCTTAGATTTTTCAGAAAACACTTCCTCATCCAATCTAATCTATGTAAGCTTGTCTTTCACTCTTACAGACACATATGTAGGATTCACATTTACTTTAACTAATGAAGTGTCTAGATATTTAGGAATATTCATTTTAAATATAACATTTTCTGGATCTTCCCAATTATTTACTTAAGGTTTATAACCTCCCTCATCACATTATCTAATTCTTCCATCATTCATATATATTGGTGTTTCTTATTTTACTTTAAATTTCTCTGGATTTCTTTATCTTTCTTTTTATTCTCTATATATTTATATTTAAATTTAATTACTTTTCTTTTGCTTATATCAAATACATCTCCTTACGAGTTTCTGGTGTATATGCTACTTTATCTTCACTATTTGGATTCATTTCTTTTCTAATCTTCTCCTCATGAATTCTTTACTCCTCTTTAATCTTCTCTTCCTCAATTGCATAAATTAATTCCTTTTATAATTATGGTAACATTTATTTTGCCTTTATTCTTTCTGTATGTGTTATTTCTTTGCCATCTAATGAATGAAGAGAATCTACTTAACCAATCACATAGTTTCTATATCCTTGCCAACTATTCAATATTATTATAATAATTTACTCAGTGCATGGATTTCCTGTTAAATATAACTCTTTTAATCTACATTTTTGTAAACATTATACAGATTTCTCTAAATTTTATAAATCAACAAAATTGACTGTCAAATCCAGTTTCATTAAAGATTCACAATTCTCTATACCTTCTATTAATTTGATATTATTTAATGCTAAATTTAAATATTCCAATTCTCTTAATTTATATAAGTTTTCCATCTTCTCTATTATATTATTTTGTAACAATAATATTTTCAAATGTCTACAATACACATCTAAATTTTCAATTTTCACTAATTCTTCTTAATGAATTGAAATTTCTTCTAAATTTGTTAACATCATTTCATTATGCTCTGCTCTTTTTCTTAATAATTCTTAAGTAATTCTAGACATTTTTAATATTATTTATAAATAATTATAAATCAATCAAATATTCTCATTCATTCTAAATTTCTTATTTTATTTCTTCTTCTTCTTATTTATTATGACCATATTTTTCATTACTTCTCCTCTATCTTCTTTATTTTTGTTTCTAAAGTTTCTAAGCTTTTATATTAGCCAAACTATTTGTTCCATTAATTTATTCATCTAATTTTTCTTTTAATGCTTTGATTGCATAATTTTTATTTGTTTCAAGATCTCTACTTTTTTAACATTTAATTTATATTCCAGTTGGTTTATGAGTCAATTAAACACAATTTGAAGTTTTATTTATTGCTTAACCTCCAGGACCTCCACCTTTAATGTATTTCCAATCTAAATCAGTCTATTAGATTTCAACAGGTTTTCTATTCATTTTCATTTCTTTAATGGATATAAAGGCATAAAATTTAGAATATTACTTTAAAATATTAATCATTTTAATAATCATTATTTAATCACAATTTTTCTATGAGTTATAAATTAATCTCTCTCTTATTGTTAGCTGTGTCTTTCTGTAAGAAAATTTAGACGTTTATTTTCTAAATAATTTGCAATAATTACAAAAATCATCTTCCATATGGGGTTCATTGTTATTTAAATTTTATATGTTTAATTTGAAATCAAATTTTTTATGATTTTATATGGACTAAGTAGCCATTTAAATATATTTTTTGACTATATCATCTGTTTTTTAAGAGTTAATATTCAAAACCTTTGATTAACTGTGATTTGCTTATTGATGTTAAGACTTTGTACCTAAATCAATAGCAGTTGTCTTCTTTGAATATTATGATTTAGCTTTTGAATTACTATTCATCTTGAAAGTTGTAAGAGTATTATATTATGAGGGTAACATATAATTAAATTCAGGTTTCTTTTGTTATTCTGCATTTTATGAACTTCTTATTTTTAAATCATGTAATTTATTAAATAAATCTTCAGCAATAGGTAATTATTTTGTATTTCTATCAGTAAGTGAACCTCCTTTTGTAATTTTATCTAATTAATTTTAATTTATTTTTTTTTATTAAATATTAATAGGTTAATATGCTTTTTTTAATTATTCTTATCGTTAAGATATATTTTATATACTACCATTATTATTATTATTATTATTATTATTTTAATCCTATTTAATACTCTTTTAAGATCCTTAGAATCCTTAAATGACAGTAGATGTACTTGCAACAATTAAATCTTAAGAAATAGTTGATCTTAATTATCGATTTGTATTTCCTTAATATTCTCTAAGCATCTTTTAAATGACTTAATTATTATCAATTTTCTATGTTTTATTTTTATCATCTTAATCAATATGTTCAATAGGAGCTGATACATATTCCTGAAATTAATCTACTTATTAATCAACTGAATCCTTAATTTTAGACATTTTAAAACTGGATTAAGAATGTTTAGATTCACTTTTAGAATTGGCAAGTATTGCTAAAATATATAATATATATAAATACCTTTCTTTTCACGTAAATCAATATGATTAGTTCTTCGTTTAACACTTTTAAGAGCATGTAAATCCTTTATGATATTAGTAGAAATGATTTATTAACTTTAAGGAGGGGATCTTAAATAAAAGTGTGATGGTAATTTTTTAAGTTAGTTACTCATTTAATTTATAATGAGATATTGTTTATCTAGCATCTCATTTAATTATTAAGTTTCTTCTTGAATATTAATGATATTTAAGCCTTTAAAATCTAGACGACTAAGTTTTTTTGGTTTGTCTTATGATGAATATATGTCATGTTCTTCAGTTTCATAACTGATTTATGATTTAGAGGATAGTTTTGAATTAAGAACGTTGTTAATAACGATATGATTATTTGATTTGTTTGAATGCTCACTTTATTGGACTCTCTAATAATAGAGTTTATCAATTCGCTTATTCCTCTTAATCATCAGTTGATGTTAATCGACAATCAAAAGATAGGGATGTAAATCTTTGTAATTGGTCACATAAAATTCAGTCAATATATCAATTCTTGGTTTGACTTCTTCCTACTTATAATATCTACAATTTAAGGAAGTTCAACTACCTTTTCATGAATTCCTATTGCTCATCTAATATCAGATAATCCTTATAATAAATTACATGAGGAGCGTTTGTAATTTAAGAAAGGATTTCATTTATAGGTTTAGCGAAATAGAAATTGAATGCTTCAAAATATTTGGTTTGTAATTTATCCAATATGAGTTACTATGTACTTTATCGACACAATTTACAATTATTCTTCATTTAACTCAAAAATTATCTATAAAATTAATACAAAAAATGAAAAAGTTAAAAAGTAAATTGGAAAGCACAAATACAGATAGTTTTGGTATTTCTGGAAGTGATTTTACAAGAACATAGAAATCTCATCATAGATATTTGATAAGTAGTACAATGAAGATGTAAACAGAATCAACAGAATAAATAAAATTGGATTTACCTCCTGTTATGAATTTGCCTTTTTAAAGTAAGATTAGGTAATAGAAGCGATCTCGAAATATGTTAAGAACTAGTGATTTATTCAATGTTTATAAGGCACCTTAAACATTGGTAACAAATCCTGAAATATTATTAAAAAAGACAAGATAATATCAAATATCATAAACCATAATAAAGTGTTATTCAGATGAAATTATGGTTTTGAAAGATCAGTAGAATTTAGATGAATAAGAAATTGAAAATTCCATTTCTAAATATCTAAATGAAGCAATACAAAGTTTGGAAATATTAATTAAAAAGTTATAGAACTTATTATAATACAAATAAAATAGAGAGAAAAGTGAATAGGAAATGAAAGAAATAATGTAGGAATGTTTTAAATAAAAAAATTTATGTATATAATAAAGGTTTTGTTATATATTTGGTAAAATGGAACAACTTTTTTTTAATCCATTATCAGGAGCTATTTATTATAAATTATGTAAAAGATTATCAGACAATGAAATATATTATAGGAATAAGATGAAAGCATACAGAGGATTAGGTGAATGTTTATTAAGAGTAAGACCAAAATTAAGTTAGTTATATTTTACTAAATATTTAATGTCAGCATGGAAATTGAATGAAAAGAATCATGAATTATATGCTTATGATTTATTAGGTAAATATTATTTTTATGTTGGTTAAATTGAAAAAGCAAAGTAATTTCATGATAAAATGATAGGAGGTTATTGTGAAGTATGTAATAATTAATAATAATTGTAGGTTCCTGATTCTAGAGTTAGAATATTGGCTTAAAGTCGTTTAGAATAGGGAAGTTTATCAAATAGAATTAATAGAGAACATTAAGTTGTTGATATTGATGTTGTAACATCTGATGATGAATGTTATGAAATTGTTTTAACCTAACCTTAATAGATTAAAGTAGCCACAATTAGTAATGTCAAATATTTTTAAAGAAAGATTCCTGATTCTAAATAAGTAAAAGAAGAAGCAAATACAAATATTAGATAGAAGAAACCTAAATATAATTCGTAACTTTTAGAAATTGGAGGAGAATTTGATATGTCTAAATTAGTTATATCTAATCCTCATCTCAATATAGGAGCCATAAAAGATAGAGTTTTATTGAGTCATATGAGTCCAAATAGAAAATTAGAAATGTATTAATATCTTTGTTTGGCCAGTGATAAAAATGCTTTTAATAATGTTAATCTACTCTCTGGATT